GGGTTGGGAGGGGGGCGGGTGGGGCACCGCGGGTTGTGCCCGGGGTTGGGGTCCGGTACGGGGGCAACACTGAGGGTTGCGATCCGTTGCCAGGACACGGAAAAAGACAAAAGACAAAAAAAAAAAAATGGGGTTTAAATGTTATCCTTGTAATTTTGTTGCACTTACTTTTAGTGTAAGAGGGATAGAATAGCTCTTACTCATCTTTTTTTTTTTTTTTGTCTTTTTCCGTGTCTAGCAACGGATCGCAACCCTCAGTGTTGCCCCCGTACCGGACCGCAGAAATTACTCACTCTGTTACTGTTTAAAGACAAGTGAAGCATCATTTTCTCTTTAAAGCTTTTCCAGATCATTGCCTTCTTTCACAGGTATAAAGAGCCACTTTCTTTGTGTTCCACTGCATTTTATATGAGCGATTCTCATCCTTGGTATCTTGTCATACCAGCAATCACACCAGTTGGGTCTCTCTTAGCTCCCGCCCGAGGGTTCGGATCCCACATGCAGACCGGTTCCCGCTCACTGGCTGAGCGAGGCGCGGGAGCAACACCGNCAGGACTTCCGACCCACTTCACAAGCGGTTGTCGGGGATGCGGTCTCTGCGGCCTCTGCGGTCACCACGCTGGGTGCCTCGAGGACTGGGTGAGACACAGGCCGCTGCCTTATGCATGTCTGGGACCAGGTTGTGGGAGTGCATCTGAAAAGGCCCGGGACAGAGCTAGTGGAGTGTGGCAGGGCAGGGGGAGAGGGTCATCTCGGGTTCCCAGGAGTGAGCACATTCCCTTTACGTGAGCAGTGGAGTTGGGAGCGGTCTGGAAAAGTGAGTCTGTCCTCTGTTCCAGAGGCCCTCGTTCTCCCCACTTGGCTCCCTCTCAGCATCCCAGGCCCGGGACTCCTTTACTCTTCTTCCCTCCCGCTTCTTCGTCTGGATTTGGAAGGGGTTCCTGGGCTGTTTGGGTTATCAGCTGAATGCTTCACTGATAGCAAATTGATTCTTAAATTTTTTTGTTTGAAGTTTGTTGCGACTGGTATTGGTTTATCCCTCTTTATCTTGCTCCTCTGCTTTTAAAGTTCCTAACCCCCATAAAACACTTTGGGGTTTAACTTTCTTTTTTTTTTTTCTTTTTGTCTTTTTTCGTGACTGGCAACGGGATCGCAACCCTCGGTGTCGCGCCCGCACCGCGCTCAACCAGTGAGCCGACCGGTCTCTATATGGGATCCGAACCCTCGGCGGGAACGCCACCAGGCTCCCAAGCGCCGCACTCAACCGAGTGCGCCACGGGCCGGCCCGGGGTTTAACTTTCAGAGTCGTTGTTGGTGGGATGCTACGTTTTCCACTAACCTTCTCTGTTTAAACGAAGCCAACCTTGTAAAACACTTACTATAATTTCGTTCACAATATTTATTGAGCTCCTACTTACTGTGTTAGACACTGGGGACAGTAGTCTATCCAAAGAGACTAAGGTCCCTCCTCTCAACAGAGGTTACAGTCTAGGGGGAAAGACAATAAATAGGCCTATAAATAAATGAACAAGATGATTTCAGATAGTGATAAGTGCTGTAAAGAAATACAACCAGGTAATGGGGGAGGGTGGGGAAGGC